GCTTGGCTCTGGTTGCTTAGCCGAAGGATCGGCTCGGCGTAGTAAATGTTAGCCGTGAGCCGAGCCGAGCCGAGCCGAGCCGTTCGCATCACTAGGTGCAGGTGTATCAAAAATGAATGTTTTGCATCACTGACCAATCAGTCGCATAACAGATAACGGATAAATCACATGGGTTTTAACCAATCATATTTCAATTATTTCAATATCAGGTGTAACGTGTCACGGGTCAAAAATTGTGATTCGGGTCAATTAAATGAACGAGTAAATTGGTTTTTTCTAATGTAGAAAATATGAGCAAGGTTAAAAATTTTTTGTTACAAAATCTAAGGCAACCTCAAGCGCATATACCGATATACTACAACTTAATTGCATTGATCCGGGTAACAGCTCTATATTTTTGTTATCCAATTATATAATTTATTCTAATAAGTTAAACCCTTGTGCATGCAATATAATACTTCATACAACAAAGTAAATGCATTGCTTTATGTATCCAGAGCTGATATTTAAATATTGTAAATATAGTATATTCTAATTTTGATACTACGTAATTTGCTTATGCGGACGATATTCACGTGACGTGGCCGGACAAACAAACCTTGCATATCACCCTTCGCGTAAAATATAGAGACCTCACTTCGCTCCGGACTAATAACTTAAATCAATTTTATTATAATTGCTGAATCGGGAGTAAGAACCATAATCACTGCTTCCTTAGATGCTATCATTTGAACTCCAATTATGTTTGTATCTTTCCTGATTTTTTCGGAAAAATCCACTACAAATTGCTCGTTATGTTTTACATGATCTTTACTATGCCAGTATACAAACGCATGATGTTTTCCTTCTATAATCATCACGAAACGATTATTGGGGTCATGAAACACGAAATTTTTTTCTCGTTTAGACGCTTGAACAAAGGCAAACGCGTTAAAAGTTGCTATGTGATCCATTATTAATGGCGATGTCTTAGAATCTAAGGGCTTAGATGGATGTGAGATCGTATACACTAGTCCATCTACATCTAATTTTAAACATACAGATGGCATTGGGGAAACATCGTCTATTAAATTTTGTTTATCAAAACTTTCAAATTGCCGAGAAATAAATTCATGCCCCCCTGCACTAGTTTTAGCCCCTATTTTTCCATTAAGATCAATCCACATAATAGTAGCTGAATGTTCCTCAAAATCGATAGATTCTTCCATCTCGTGACCAATGGGATGTCGCAGGGCGTCTAATATGCCTTGATGTCCAACGGTATTACCCGTAGAATCATTAAGCTCTGCGGTATATTTTTCTAAACGTTCTCGAAATTCTGCAAATTCGTTAGGATCAATTGTTTCAAAAACTCCATCATCCTGCTGGAAAACGTGTGACCAACGTGTTTTATGATGATGCTTTTCAAGGTGAAGTGTCAACAATCCAATTTTTGGCTCAATTGTCCATAGAGAAGAACTCGGATCAATTAGGTCAAATAGAGGTGTAAAGGCAAAGCAGGGTATAGGTGATTGCAGAGGTAAATTTGTGTTGCTTGTGTTAGAGTCAATATTAATAGTAAGAGAAAGATGTGTCTTGGTAAAATTGCAATGGACTGCTGTTTTAGGTGTACCAGGTGGTAATTGAAAGCAAATTGTAAGATCGGTTGAAGTTTGCGTCCAAATATATGGGGGCACTTTAACATCATTATCTGATGTTGTCTCTTTTACTCCAACATCTTGTGTTGATTTTGCGGCGTCATCTAGCTCATTTAATTCGTCTACTTCAAGTTCTTGAGTAGATGACCTTTTAATAATGTCGTATTCTACGTAACTACCTATCACATACCCATCCCCACTGATATTAATGTTATAATAAAGAGGAATTTCAGTCCCACGAAGAGTATGTAGGGTCTGAATATTGTATGAATGATCTAAAGACATTTTCAGTAAAGAAATATCAAATAAAGTTTTTCTTGAATTGTTCTTGGGTAAGTTGTCAGTAAATGAATTTTCTTGTCTCGGAACTGAGTAATAAATCGAAAATAGAATATATGCATTATCACCTTCACCTACAATCTTTCCATCAAGAACAACAAATGGTATACGATTGAACCTATCCTTATCCTCGGATTCATCTTCTGAACAAACTTTGATATCTGTCTGATTAATAATTTCTCCATAATAGCCATTAGACTCGTCACTTATTATCTTTACAAGGAAAATTTTTCCAGAGCCGTTTGTTACGAGCAATAATGTCGACGATAAAGCCTTTAAAGAAGGATACTCTAAATTTGATGTCGAGGCGTCGCTTGCCTCGGTATGCGTTTGATCACCCAAAAATTCTGGAATATTTACGAGACGATATGTGGTGATGAAATTTGACGTCTAATTATTATAACCAACAATGGATTTTATTATCGATCATTGGAAATAAGAATCAACATTCATAAACTCGACTACGACCAATACCTGATCATATTCAACCATTATGATATAAAATTCCTTATCAAAATAGAAGCAGATTTTTTTTTTATCAATTAACTCATATCCAAGAAATAAATGGTTATAATGAATACGATTTCGAATTTCTTTATATGACAATTTTGAGCTAGAGAATCTCGATATTGATATACCAGGTGGTGGTAATGGAAAATGTTGCAAATTATTTTGGTCATCAAAAAGTTTTAATTTATAACCTTCAAATTTCGGGTTTAACAATAAACGGTTTGGCTTTAAAGTCACTATATGTGGTTGTGCCGACATTTTGGAAAAATTTATAAAATAGAATTTGTAATTGATATAATTTTAAAATATGCACATCAGTTATAAATTACATATCAAACTATATTTATAAACTATTTTATAATCATGATTTCATCGTAACGGATGGACATGTGTTAATGTTAATCATGTTTTTATATATATACCGGTATATACAAATAAATATAGCACTCCTGACATTCTAAACAGTACTAACAGAAGCAATGGCACAGTCATATGCTGATGCAGTTAAGAAGAGTATTGACGAAGGAGATAGAACAGAAAATATGGAAGCAGATTTGGTTACTGACAAAGATCGCGCCAACAGTCGTTCCCGAAGTGTTCAACCATTTCAAGTTGATTTTGATGATCAAAAGATGGAAAATCATGACGCTACATTACTCGGCTCTAAACCTGAAATTCAAGACGAACCACATAAAAAGGCGCGAGGACAGGGAGGTGGCAAAGTTTCAAGAAGAACAATTGCCCTAAGTGTTGCTGTTGATATTGCCCTTGCTGGCATTCTTGTGCGCTGGGTATTTAAAAGGCCTTCTATCAATAAAATTAATGCGGGATTAGGTGCTATTGGGCTGTCATGCTTTTACGGATTTCAGTGGTATGTATATTTTTATATCATATGCTCCGATTCTTGGAATTGCAATAACTTTTGATTCACCAGAATAATTTAATTATCAAAATGTTGAGACGATTCTAACAAGCTCAAAATCATTAAAATCCAATCATGGGATCACAAAATAATTCAATATTTATGTAATTTTGATAGTAATTTTTAAAATCCTTCTGTAACATTAAATAACTTTTGAGATTTAACCACCAAAATGTTTGTCTCAGTGAGACGATTCTAACAAGCCTAAAATCATCAAAATCCAATCACAGGATCACGAGATCAGTGTCATGTAGACAATCACTCAATGAATTGGTTTTTATATATGAAAAACCAATTCATGGAGTGATTGTCTACATGACACTGATCTCGTGATCCTGTGATTGGATTTTGATGATTTTAGGCTTGTTAGAATCGTCTCACTGAGACAAAACATTTTGGTGGTTAAATCATTCAAAACAGACCAGTGGGTCAAAAGTTATTTAATGTTATAGAAGTAATTTTAAAAATTACTTTTAAAATTACATAAATATTGAATTATCTTGTGATCCCATGTTTGGATTTTAATGACTTTGGGCTTGTTAGAATCGTCTTATCGAGACCAACACTTAATTAAATTATTCAAAACGGACAGGTAGATCAAAAGTTATCGCGATTCCAAAAATCGGAGCATATGTTACAATTTTGGAAGTCTTGCCATATTCTAAATTTATTCATTTTAAATCAGGTGGATGTATAGAAGATATATAAACGATAATTGACGAATTTGTCTTGAAATTAAAATGCTAACAAAAAAAGAAAAAATAATAAATGAAAAGAAAAAAAAAAAATTTTTGTATTTGAATGTTTCTTGTATATTAAAACAAAAATTTCAAAGTTGTCCAATTAAGATAATTAAGATTCAAATTTTAGTCAGATGACTTGAATGTATAGTCTGTACAACTTAACGCTAAATATCCTTATATAAATAATATTTCGCTCCGACTAACTCGCGCGACTGTCCTTTCAGGTCTCTTGATCGCGCAAAAAGCAAAGTACGGGGAAAAAAAAAAACTGTTGTGCCAAAACTTTTTCGGTTGACATTCCTTACAATAAAAAAAAAAAGCTTATTAAAGTAAAGTTTTCACGATAGGGAAAAGAAAACGGAAATCGAAAGAAAAAAGTAACGGCGAAATGTCTCAAATGCCAGAAGGAGATGGTAAGTTTAGAGATTTTAGATAAACTAATAGACAAATACATTAAAAAGAAATATGCCACCTTATTTGCACTATGTTGTTTTGATTCTTTCGTCCTAAAACCTGCGGATTGATCTGTTTCCCTTCTAAAACAATATGAAAAAAAACCCCAAATCCAAGATGATTATGGCTATGATCCAATGAATATGGACGAATACGATGATGGACAACTTGATGGTACTGCCGGACCTTCGTATAATCCTCAGTCAAGTTACGGTATAAGAGAAGCTGGCGGCTATGATGAAGGTTTCTTCTCGGGGCCCGTACATCAGCAGCATCATAAAGGTGGTCATCATCACAGGCAAAACCAGCAAAGTGATAAAACTGTTGACCAGGATTTCTTTAATGGTACTTATTAATTTATTATCATAGTTTGACATTTTGATTTTCTATTTTAATGATTTATTTTATTCTCGAATTAAGATTTTCCTGATGATTTCGATGACGAAGATTTGAAATAAAACAATTATTCCTTTTATCCTTAATATTTATTGTTATACTTTGAAACATAATTGAAAAGAATAACAAAATTATGACCGTCAGATAGATAATATAATTTTTTGTTTTATTAACAAAGGTTTTCAAGTCTATATGATTATTCAACTTATTTATAGATTATAAATCTTCATTTTCGTTCTGATCGTCTTCAAACTGATCATCATCCTGAAGCAATCTTAAAACTGTTTGCTCATTGTTCAACGCCCAAATGCCAATTTCTTCATACTCTTTGATACATTCTTTCAACTGATCTTCTGTGAATGCTTGCGCGATCACCCTACCTTTGATATCGAGATAATTAAGCGTACCGTTGGTTCTACCTCTTCGAAACATTGTTATGATAATATCATAAATAGCAGATGTTGGTGATCTATCAGTTCTAGCTTCTCTGTCTGCTGGATCATTTAATGATTCTTTTGACACCATAAGTAATCTTAATGCCTCATCAATATCAGATTTTTTAACTTCGTCTTCAAGTCGAAGACGTGCCAATGCTTGTGATAATCGAATCACTGCCAAAAGCGTACGAGCACTTGTATAAGTGAATTCTTTCTTTCGTGCTTCGGCGATTTTTTGTTCTTGTCGATTATCGCAATACGAATCAACTATATGTTCTGCTATTGCCTCTGGAATAACTGGCCGTTTACTACGAGCTTCAGCAATGTAATGTCTATTTCATAAAATAATATGTGAATTGTAGGTATTAAATTATTTTGCATTTAAAATCGATTAATAAAATATTATGAAAAATCACCTGATCGTATCAGCATCAAGGACTTCGGTATCCGTTCGGGGTTGCTTACCATGCATGTGAACGTGTGCCACATGATGCGCCAATCTCGCATCTTCATCCATATCTGGCCTATCCAGGATCAAAAACAGAATATCAAATCTCGACAAAAGAGCCGCAGGAAGGTTTATATTATGACTCGGGGATACTTTTGGATTATATCGTCCGTAAAGTGGGTTCGCAGCAGCAAGAATTGACGTGCGCGCATTCAATGTAGTTGTGATACCCGCTTTGCTGATACTGATAGTTTGTTGTTCCATCACTTCGTGAATGGATGATCGATCTGCATCTTCCATCTTGTCAAATTCGTCAATGCAACAAATGCCATTATCCGCAAGAACCAATGCACCACCCTCTAACATTTCAAATAGATTAAAAGTATAAACTATGGCCATCATGTGGAAAGAGATGTGCAGATATTAGCTGAGATCAAGTTATTTTATAGAGCTCAGCTGATATCTGACACTTCCCTAATGTATATATTGCTAGTGTAATATTCTTACCAAGTACCATTTCGTTCGTAACCGGATCTCGCTCTACTGATGCTGTTAAACCCACGCCTGAACTACCACGTCCAGTAGTATACACCCCTCGTGGTGCAACTTTACATATGTATTTGAGTAATTGTGATTTGGCAACACCCGGATCTCCCATTAAACATATATTTATATCGCCACGAATTTTCATTCCATCTCTCATCGTTTTTGTTACGCCACCAACGAGCAATAATAATAATGCTTTTTTTACATCTTCGTGGCCATATATTTCTGGAGCGATACTTCTTGATAATTTAGTATAAACTTCGGGATCCTTAGCAAGTCTGTGCACCTTTTTTTGAATTTCTGGAATTTTTTCCATTTTATCGTATTGCTTCTTAAGTTGATGAACATATTGACCTTCAAGGTAAACATCTGTCAATAGAGTATTGCCTCCCTTATATCCAGAATGTGGTGTGGCTTGAAATATTCCAGATATATTTACTACATCACCGGGATTTACTGAACGCGTCAAAGGACCATATAACAAGATGGTCATCGCTCGAGGAATATGCCCTATTGGAACTTGTTCAGTCTGATTTCAAAATTAAGAAATTAAGAAATAAATATGTGTTATAAATAAAATAAAGAAATAATACAATTTGACTTACCAATTCTTGCATTTTGACTTCTTGAAATGGTACAAATTTACAAGAGCGCGTCTGCATGTACAATTTGCCTTTCACGTTATTGGTCTTACAAGACTCCGATGGGCACTCAATGCGTGGCAAATAAGTTTTTCTCGTTACTTCTTCGAACACCTCTTCACCACACATTTCACATGAAAAACCAGCGACCATTAAGAATGGCTTTACATCACAAACGCGAGTAATTATGCCTTGGACAGTCACTAAATGGCCGACGCAACTACCATTCACACCACGTATAGAATAGGGTTTATCAGATGACAACGGTTTAAAATATAAGGTACTATGATATAACAAAAAAATTAATTAAATGAAGATTGAGAGTGACCAAGTAAGAATATGAAAAGAAAATTACTACTTACTATCTTCTTGTCAATGATGGCGGGAAAGAAGTTCGATCTGCTTCAGATCTTCGACTATCTTTGTCTCTTCGATGTTGCATGATCACGTCGATAACATCATCGTCAAAGTTAATTTCTCTTTCGGGTGTGGGCATTAACCCATTTCCTTTTTTATAAATTACATCATAAAACATTTTAATGTAACGACGCGTGTTTTCTTGGATTCTATGAAGTAAGCCACCCTCGGCTTTGTCTTCCCACTAAATATTAATATTTAATAAATAAGCTAAAAAGGAAATAGTTTATCAGAATATTTAAAAGCCAAAAAAAAAAGTTTACTTCAGCAATATCGTCCAACTCGATAACAAGAATATCTTGCTCTCTATTTGCTATAGCTTGCTATAATTTCATATATTAATAAACCGTTTTAGCAAATGAACGAAAAAAAAACGCGAAAGTAATATAAAACCTACAAGCTGCTTTCTATACTTGTAGGAATTTAGATCATCATTTTCCACATCAATGTCCATAGACTCATCTTGGCCTGCTAGACTCCTTGATTGAAAAGCTTCTAAGAAAAGCTTTACATTCTCTATCGTTAGAATTAAAGCGAACGTAGTTAAGTATTTACGCGCAAAAATTTTACCAAAAAAGACGCGAAATATGTAGACATTCATAATGTTGAATAGTTCTAAGCTTACTTTTATCCTGTTCATAATTCACATTTATTTTCACAGTTCGAAAGGCTTGAACTCCTGCCATGACTTCTTTGCTTCAAAAAACCGTGTTGTTTTTATTAAAGTCACGTAAGTTATGCTTTACCCCGATTCAGTAATTCAGTAATTTCAAAATTTCTTAAAGGGGATATCAATTGAATCGACGATCCATGGTCATGCAAGTCAATTGATAATCAACCTTGATTTTTAGTATAGGTGGGCAATATAAAAATATTATATAATATTTCTATACTGTATTGCCCATATATACTAAAGAAGATCCTAATTTTATAACTATATAGAATTAAAATAAAAAAAAATTATTAAATTTAGTTTAGTAGTTGTTGAGATATTTTAATTTATAGTTTAAAAAATTTTTACTTAGAAAAAATCTCTTCCTTTTCTATTAACAAGCTCCTATATATTGGCTAAAAATATTTTGGCACTTACAAAATAGAGAACTTGCATTTATTTTCAACTTGGGCCAAGTCTATTTTATTGCATTTAAAAAGAACTTACACTTAAGGAATATACACTTAGAGGAAGTTAACTGTAACATGTATATTTAACAAAAAAATTGTAATTATAAAAATTATATTTTTCAGCTGGGTTTTGAAGCTGTTTAAAGACATTGTATTTAGAAAATTGCATTTAGAGAAGTTTTCTATAAAAATTTTTGTTTTTTTTAACTACATACTATATTTATTTTGATAACTTCGAAACCAATAGCTCTGCAATATAAGTCGTTGTACAGTCAACTCTTCCTACCGAACTTAAAAAGTTCTATACTTTAAAATTTTACGGTTCATACAAATTTACGAAGTGATCAGTCGACTGTATTTAACATATTTATATGTTATTAAGGTGTGGTTTGTTTTACGACGTTAATACATTCGTTTGCAATAATCAAATTTCATGAAGAAAATTTCATTTTTAGTTTCTTTTAAAAATGATGCAAATATAGAAATAGTAGGATACAATTACTAAAAAATAAACTATTAAGTAAAAATTGAAAAATCTGGCGACCCGAATTTCAACATAAATATCATTTTAAAAAGAGGAAAGCAAGGTAAATGTCTAATATGCGGTGATCACTAAAAGACAATGGTAATATAAATGTGGAATAGAAATGGCCGCAATATATTTTACACATTTTCGTTGGTCACATATATTGGTATTACAATTTAGTTGTTCTAAATTTTACTTGGTCATCATCATCTTGACAAACTCTTCGTAGTTAATTTGGCCGTCACCATCGACGTCAGCTTCACGAATCTATACAAACGCATACGAATCAATATTTGAGATATATACCATTTAAAAGTTGGTGATATTACTCGAATTAAAATAAGTAAGTTGAATATCCGGATTTACCATTTCATCGACTTCTTCATCAGTAAGCTTTTCACCAAGGTTAGTCATGACATGCCTCAATTCAGCAGCTGAAATAAATCCGTTGCCATCTTTATCAAAAACTTTGAAGGCTTCTTTGATTTCTTCTTCAGAATCGGTATCTTTCATTTTACGAGCCATCATCGTTAAGAATTCAGGAAAGTCAATTGTACCGTTGCCATCAGCATCTACCTCGTTAATCATATCTTGCAATTCAGCTTCGGTGGGATTTTGACCGAGAGACCGCATAACAGTACCAAGTTCTTTAGTTGTAATAGTACCATCATTATCTTTGTCAAAAAGGGAGAAGGCCTCCTTGAATTCTGCAATTTGTTCCTCGGTTAGCTGGTCCTATTAAAGGAAAATTATGAAAATACGAAAACAGATGTTAAAACCAGTTAGCCCTGATGAGCTTTTGAAGCTATTTCTCTTATTAAAAAGTGCCAAATATTTTAATGTATTTCTAAGAAGGTATATGGAATACTAAAATCCAAAGTTTCTTTCTTTATTAATAAACTCCATTCTGTAAAAGGCCTTTGTAATTTACCGTTGGCAGCAATAACTTTCTGTTCTCGGTCTGTATTACCGATTTATTACGTGTAAACACGAATGTACGATACAAAATTTCTTTTTGCAATGCAATCAACAGCTTACCATTGTCTGAATCTGAGGATTTGAATAAATATAGGTAAAGGTTTACTTTTCTTTAATGGAGCGAGCGGCTTTTTCTTAGGCGCGGCGAGTAAAATTGAATTTACTGAATCTTTGAAGTTACGTTAACGTGCATATGTGTAACATTTGCACAACGATTGGGGCGAGGTCCTTTCATCAGGCCCAAAGTTAATCTGTCACCCATGTCTAATATTAGCTACGTCACGTTTCGTAGTTCCACATGGATACATCGTCTTAGCGTTAACGTCAAAATTTGTTGATTTACTATATTACTTGATAGCTATTATGGCCGCCAACTTTTGGGCTTCTTCCCATGGGTAATGGAAATGCCAACGTTGCAAATGATCTAATGAGATCTGGCTTTTATTCATTTGTTTAACTTTACTCAACACTTCTTTTAGAAAGAAATGGCTACTCAGCAGGCAACAACTTCAGGAAAGCAGGAAGGAAGACATAAAGTGTATCAATTCACTTGAAATGAAGAAGGTCAACATATGGTTTGCCAAATGTATGTGTGGATTATTATTAAAAGATATTTAGGCATAACTGTTACCTTTCTAAAAAATTTCGGTCAAATAGTAATGACTGAGCTAGGAAATAGTCTCGGAGTGAGACAAGTTATTATTGCCACCGCATTAACGTATTTCAAACGATTCTATACAAAGAAAGTATTGATTTCACTATTATTCCATTATTATTGGAATTATGATCTGTGTTGACATTCAGAATCCATTAATAGGAACAGTTATAGAGGAACTGAACCGTATCTGGTCGCCGCTACTTGTATGTATTTAGCATGTAAAATCGAAGAATCTCCGCATCACATCAAGAGTGTAATTGCAGAGATGAAACATGTAACAACAGGTAGGTTATATAGTAATCGACCTTGAATTTATTTTATTTATATTGTAACCAATTTTTATCGATTTTTATAAGATAAGGGTGGTTTCCAATACGAAAACCAAAAGGTGGCAGAAATGGAGTTTTACCTTCTTGAAGAATTAAATTTTAATATGATTGTGTTTCATCCATACCGAGCTTTAACAACGCTAGCGCAAGATCTTGGCACAAAGAATGAGGATGTACAAAGAGCTTGGCTTATCGTAAATGATACGTACAAGACAGATATGTGTCTCTTACATCCGCCATATGTGATCGCTGCCGCTGCACTTTACTTACCTATTGCACTTAAAGGGGGTGTTCAATATGGTGATAACAATAATAGCGTACAAGGTGTCGTTACTAGAGGCGCTAAAAAAGGTGCTACTTCCGCTGCTACTAGTGATAGTAATAATAATAACGAGACCACTAAAATAGAAGACATAAGGCAATGGTTCGCATTATTGAATGTTGATTTGGATCAGGTAATTTAGAATTTATATCCTCTTTCTAATATTTTATGCCTAATTATTATAATTAATTTGTTGTAGATTATCGATATTGTTCAAGAAATAATATCATTATATGAAGTATGGGACGATTATAAAAAAAAACCTCAGGAAATTCATGGAATTTTACAAAGACTGTTAAAAAAATAATTATTAAAGGGAGAATTTTATAAATCACATGGGCCTGCTAAATTTCACTTTTTTCAAATATCATAATTTTTGACAAAATTATTACAAACCATTATTGTAGCGCTCTAGTGATAATATTGTATAAATTAGAGTAAACCAATTTATTATTATTATTATTATTGTATAGAAAAACTATTACAAAGTATACTTTTGTTGATTACTATTACTTATATTTTCAAAAAGAGAAGCTTGTTACTAAGACAAATATAGTACTAATATAAATTTTGGTCTAGTTTTTTTTTACATTTATGAAATAGAAGCTTTTTTCTATTTTTAATTTTTAGTAGCAATTAATATGCTATTTATCGCCAGCGGCAATATTATCAGGAATAGCATTATTATAATCTGTGCTCGGTTTTGATCATATGATTATGATTGCTAATCTGGTTCAATCAGATTCGTATTTCCACATTTGGTGTTTGTATCTCTAAGTAATAATAAAATTTGGAATTGACAAATTCAGTCAAAAATTTTTTTATTTGAATTCTATAGATTTATCCCTTAAATGGTAAGCAATTGCATACTATAAATATATTTTTGATTTATTTTTTTTTTAAATATTTAAAATATTTAAATAAAATTTTACACAATTATATTTAAAAATAAAGATTATATTTTTGCTTTATTTGTATTTAAATTATAAGAAAAAAAATTGTAATTGCTTATAAACCCAAAATATAAAATTTTTAAAAAAAGTTTTAATTAAAAAAAATAAATTACAATTTCTTGATAAACTCTTTAAATATTAGTTTTAAAAATATAGTTTCTAATACAATATTGTATACTATACAAAGGATAATAACTTTCATTATTGCACTTTTAGTGATTTACTAATAAAAATTAATACTTGTCTTAAGAGCAAACTTTTTTTTTAAAAACAAAAATATATAAAATTTTAAAAAATATAAAAAAATTTTAATAGTAAACTCTAAAGTTATACAAACTTTAAACTTTAATTAATTAAAAGTTTTTTAATAATTTTAAAAAAATTTTATAATAAAGTTAATAAAATTTATTTCAAATAATATATTATATATTGATGATCACTAAAACCAAAATTTTCCAAACAATTTTTGTAAAAACAGTAACTAGTAAGTAATGAAGAGCATAAAACTA